GCAGTCACACAATCTAAGAGACTTCCAAGACACCTAAGCAGAGATGCATTCAGCATCTTCCCGCTTTCTTAGAGAATGACTTGGTCAGCATTCTCTCTGCCTGGTAACCCTTAGTGCACATAGTGTAGCCAGGACCTAACTATTAAGGATCTAGTAGTTAAGGACTAGGAGCACAAAGGAGACACAAGGTAATGGTTGAGAGAAACCCAAGGATCAATGTATAAGTTTTCAATCAAGAATGTTAAGGAGTTGCCAGGCAGTGGCGGCGCACCCCTTTAATCCCAGAGCTTGGGAGGCAGAGGCAGGTGTATTTCTGAGTTCGAGGCCAGCTTGGTCTACAGAGTGAGTTCCAGGACAGCCAGGGTTACACAGAGAAACCCTGTCTCAAAAAAAAAAAAAAAAAAAAAGCGTAAGGAATTGTGACTGGAGGGAAAATCTGGTATGTGACTTGTATCCTTTCATTTCATATGGATTTTATGGAGAAACTTGACATTTACTCTGCCTACATTTAAAAAGATAGCGGTTATTCCTCCATATGTATCAGTTTGTCTTTTAACAGTTAACAGTGAAATACCACAGCGGGTCATACTTATGTCACATACAAAATAGCCCATAAATTACATCAGACAGTATGGGAGCTATGTGTGATGGCACACACCTACAAACCAGCAATGGGGAGCAGGAGGGTGGTGTATGAAAAAGGGGAGAGGCAGGGAGTAGGAAGAAAACGTCAAAGCCAGCCTATGACAACAAAAAACAAACAAGCAAAATGAAAAAACAAATGTTCTACCACATATAGGAACTTAATTAGAAAAAATTATTTTGCCTTAATCATATACAGTAGCTATCACAATGTATTTAGGATTAACTATGGCTCTATGTACTTAAAAACTTTTGAGCCATATATGGCAGTGCACAGCTTTAAGTCCAACATTCAGGAGGAAGAGCCGGATGAGTCTTTGTGAAATCAAGGCCAACCTGGTCTACATAGTGAATTCCAGACTAGATCAGAGTTAAAGACTGGGAATGTCTCAAAATAAAAATAAATAAATAAAAATCTTCTGATATTTGTACAATTTGTTCTCCTAAATGAACACTTTAAAGCTCTAACAGTTCCGTGGTGAACAGACCTTAAAGGTTGTCTCAACTTCAACCCCTAGGCCAACTTGATGCATGCTAGCTGGTGTCACTATGGTCTCAGAGCATCATAATCACTAGTACTGATGCAACTCTATGACGTGTTAATAATAAGAGTCTGTAGTGAATACAACTTCTGGCATCATTCAAAAATTCATTTTATGACCATAAATGACCTTTTCATTAGAATCAAGAGCCTCTTCATGTATAAATTATAAAAACTACGCTGCTTGAAAATAGGTAATTGAAGCCGAGCAGTGGTAGCCTTTAATTCCAGTGCTTGGGAGGCAGAGGCAGGTAGATTTCTGAGTTCAAGGCCATCCTGGTCTACAGAGTGAGTTCCAGGACAGCCATGGCTACACAGAGAAACCCTGTCTTGAAAAACCAAAAAAAGAAAGAAAGAAAGAAAGAAAGAAAGAAAGAAAGAAAGAAA